TGTGTGTGGTACTGGGGATCAAATCAAACCCAGGGTTTTATGCATGGCAGGCAAGTGCTTCACTACTGAGTTAAATCCCCAGCCCTTTTTCATTTTCAGACATGCTCTCACTAAATTGGCCAGGCTGGTCTCCAACTTGTGGTCCCCTGTCTCAACCTTCCCCTTAGGCTCCCAAGTTACAGGAGTTACCTGCCATGAGTCTCTTAGAGTTTTCTATGTGAAAGATCTTGCCATCTGCAAACAGATAGTTTTTCTTCTTTCTTTCTCACCTGGATATTAATATTTTTCTTGCCTAATTTCTGTGGCTATAACTTTCAATAAATATAATGAAATATTTTTCATAAATGTCCTTTATAAGTTTGAGGAAGTTACCTTTTTTCTGTGTGTGTGTGTGTGTGTGTGTGTGTGTGTGTGTGTCTTTTTTAATTATGGAATGTATTAGATTTTGTCAAATGCTTTTTCTGTACCAAATGATCATGTATGATATTTTTTCTCCACTATTAATGTGGTATACTACATAATTGACAATTTCTTCAAGTTTTTGTGTTTAATAATTAATAGCTTGACAGATCAGATCCAAGACACAAAGACACTATGTTCAAGAAACTGGGGGAAAATTACTGTATAAACTATCCACATAGTAAGTGATAATAATGAGCATTATAATATAAAATCTTTCAACACATAGTAGTTAGCTGCAGGAAACCATTTTCAGCTTAGGAAAATGGTATACCAAATTTCAGGGTAAACTACTAGCAAACTTCAACTCTTTTGTATGGAAACTCTCTTATTTCTGTTTTCAAACTCTTCCACCCCAGCATGAGTTATAATGTCTGGAATGCTTTTTTCCCCAATCATAAGTGTGATTACCAATATTGTCAATTCTTATAATGATCTGATGAGACATGGTCTGACATTTATCTTGCATTCATTGCAAGAGCACCACATAGGTGATCCTGCATGATGTTGAAGTCAGTCTTGGCCATCTCCCCAGTTCCCAGTTTGGTGATGATGTCTCAGACTATCACCTATACAACAATTTTGGGGGGTTATGTACTAGGGATTTAACCAGGAGACGATTTATCACTGAGATTTGTCCCCAGTCCTATTTTTTTTTATTGAGTCTGGGTGGGTCTCATTAA